TTCGGTTCGTTCTTTGATGATCTCTTAGATTAAATGTACCAAATGATTGCTTTAAATGTGTCAGATTAAGCCGAAATGTCTTTAATAATTGTATGTCCCTTGAAGCTTCCTTTTTGGTTTCTTTTGATTTTTGGAAATATTTGAGCTACCCCGCTGAAACCCTTAGTCTTTCATATGATGAAACGTGAGAGTGTTTTGGCTTTAAATTTAATGACGATGCGTTTTGTATATTCTTTATGTATCAATTATTTTACATCATGCTCACTTTACTCTTATCTTTCTCTACGTTATCTTAATATTTTCAATTCCTAATAATATTCATCTTTTTATATTTTAATTATTGTATTTCATTCTTTCATTAATGCTATGGCTTGTTCGTTCATTGTTTCATAAACCCACCCACCCAATCATTCATTCATTCGTTCATTCATTCATTCACTCATCTATCAATCCATCCATCCATCTATGCCATCCATCCATTCATTTATTCATTCATTCATTCGTTTCATTCATTTTTATTTAATCGGTATTCCACTCAGCTAACAGTTAATCAATCGATCCATCTTTCTTTCTTTCTTTCTTTCTTTCTTTCTTTCTTTCTTTCTTTCTTTCTTTCTTTCTTTCTTTCTTTCTTTAGTTAAATATCAATATTGTTTTACGATATCTTTAAAATCTTTCACTTACGTCAAAATTTTAACATCCTCATCGAGTCATCGCCGTCACTTCTTCATTTTTGACGATTCTATTTACGTATTTTTGCCAACGCATTACTGAACTAAATTAGTTTGTCAAAATGTCTTCACGTACAGAAAAACATGCATATGCATTTAAACGTGCCAAACACTCAAACGGCTTCCAAATTCGAGCGTCGTGATTGGATGATTTGGGTTGACCCCATTTTGATTGGTAGAGACAGGAACCTTCCTTTTGGACTCGCTCAAAATCTGCGCTAAATGACTTCTTCCGCAGTAAAAATGTCAACAGTAAAAATCGTTATCTTATATACGAATCCTACGTTACATGGACACCTGAAATGTTTAATGAGTCAGCAAATAGAAAACCAAGTGACCACGTCCCTTTGTGTGACGCTACTAAAARCTATTACGAGACAATTTATCATACTCATTTGGAAACATAGCACAAAGTAGCAACAAACAAATGCGCAACTATATTAAAGGATTTCTTCAGGAAAGACAGGAAAGAAGATCTGAAAAAGGTACATTTAAAGAAGTAATTTTTTTTTGGTAACAGAACAGATTAAAAATTAAGCTTAATTTAGCTTTGAATAGAAGGGACTTAAAAGTAATAGGAAGATGATTTCAAGCAAAGTATTTTTCAAATTTCTTTTCTGCAGATTCATTAAAATCAAATCAATTCAGCTTTTTGCTCATTAAACGAAAACAAAAAAAGCAAACAATAAAAACCCAAAAGGATTTTCAAGATACCGCAAGCACAATTTCCAGTGCAAGTGAACTCTTCACTAACTTGCTTCTTCGAGTCTAACTTTTACAGTTTTTGAACTTTTCGGATAATTCTATCTTTCACTAACTAAGCCATACTCATGTTTAGCCTTTTCGCTAGTAGGTTCCTGTTTCGCGTGCAGTTGTAATTAATCGCACAATCAAATTTCAATTTCAAAAAAAACACCTTTCTTGCTGGTCGTTTTTAGTTTCCTGTTTCTTTATCATGTTATAGATTGACCGTCCCGTTATAGAAATGTAGCCAAAAAAAAAAACAAAAAAACTAATAAGATATTTTAAAATAGCTAAACCAAATTTATTTTTTACAGTGCGACTACACCAACCAATAGGCCAACCAGTAAAATTTTAATATTTTTCACTACTTCAAAATCATATATCTATCTTTCTACGAGTGCGTGTATGTATGTTCAGGAGTGAAAAAAAAAACAGTTTAAAAACTAGAATTCACCCGTTACAGCGTTAAAAACATGATTTGTAAATTTGGTTAAAAATTTTGGGTGGCCTTGGTTGATGTAGTCGACCTGTAATAGTTGTAATAAAAATTATAGAATGTATAGAATAGAATAGAATTGAAGTTGGCACTGATCATTAGCACTGAGCTTGCTCAGTACTAGTTTTAAATAAAAAAACAACAACAAAAGTGTTGGAAGAACGGTTGCGAGGAGATTTACAACGATACCAGTACGTTGGCAACAGCACGTTCGTAGAGAAAAGAAAAAGGAAAGGAAACGAAAGAAAAGGAAAGGAAAGCGATAGATGAGAATCAAAGAGAGTAGAACACAGTAGAACAGAAAAAAAA